CCTCGGGTAAATTGGCTTCATTCCGAGTTTTTTGAACGGCTGAGTCTAGCTGTTGATCGCGAGGTGCTAATTCCTCATCGGATGCAAGGGCGGCAAAACTGTTTGCTACTGGCAATTCAACTACGTCCATATTAATGCGATTGTTCACCAAGGCATTGGCTAAATTGGCATCATTTAGTAAAGCGGGCTTATCGTGTAAGTTTTTAACATTTCTCGGCCTCAGGTGAGTAGAGACAGACTGATTTATTACTTCCTCTTGAGCAATAGCAATATCATTGCTGGCAATCGATTGCCTTCGTGGGCTAATTGCCTTTATAGGTTCGAAAGTTCGCATAATTCTAGAGGTTTCATTAGCTTGATTGGCCCGATTTGATTCCTTAACTTCCGAGGCAAGGTGCAGAATTCGAACATGAACATATATGCTGACCTACATCCCGTTTAAGGCCCAATATCTCTTTCTCTAAATTGTCAATTTTTCCTTGATATGAACGCTTCAACATCTCAATATCTGCCACAACCTTGCGAAAGTCCATTGCGAGTTCAGTGTATTTGGCAGATAAGTCCAATAACGATGGCTGTATGACAGTATTCTGACGTGGTACTTGTTTCCCGCGATGTATTGCGAGGGTAACTAGTTCAGGGTTATCCCGTACCAGGACTTTTGCCTGTACGATTACAACTTGGGAGAATTATCTACGCCCCTTACACTTAAGATACCTACTTCAATGCATTATAGAACTCAAAATGTAACTTCTAATATATTGGAACCGCCGATTGTCTGGGTATATCGGCAGAACCGGAACATTTTTCTTTTTCATCGAGAGAGATTCCATCACTTTTCAACATGGCGGTTGGATTTAAAAGGGGAATCCCCCGTATGACTGTCCTGGATGTGGACCGGAAGTACCAATATGGAGGAATTTGACGGTTGAAATAAGTTAAATGTTACACGCAAATATTGCGATCAAAAACGAAAATGTCTTCGTTCTGCCGATAAACCCAGACAATTGTGGATTCAACTACACGAAAAGAATGCTAAAATACCAAGGAATCTATTGAAGTAGGTATCTGAAGTGTAAGAAGCGTAAAAAATTCTCCCATGTTGTAATCGCACAGGCAAAAGAGTGAGATGTTCACAGGACCATAGTCCGGGAACAGGATAAGTTCAGGGATTTTGCTAGTAGTCCCAAGAACACCTCTAGGAAAATCTTCAACAAGACCTCTAACATAGACGTAAAGTTCATAAATGTCATTAGAAAGACTAATAAGCTTTGTCTCACCCTGCCTTTTCTTCGGTTTAATATCCAAAGTTTGTTCCATTCCCCTAGCTGAGGCTGGGCCGTATATACTCGTACATTTCTTATCCAGTTTTATTGTCGCCAATCTAAATTAGGGTGGTCCAAAATATGGCGAAAAACCAACTTTCTTTCGGATCATCTTCCTCATTTGACTTACTGTTTTCCATGACCTAAAACACCTGCACACCAAATTTTGAGACCCAAATCCCATGGGAAATTTACCCACGCTTCGACTGAAAAATTCGGTTATTTCATGATTTTTTGCTATTTTCGATAAATTGCCATCTCCTTTTTCCTGGTATAAAATGTTTCTATTTTTTCATAATAAACATTTTTGTAGGACTCTTTATTACTTAATAATACTAGGAGCCTAAACACCAAATTTTGAGACCCAAATCCCATGTGAAATTTACCCATGCTTTGACTGAAAAATTGTGATTTTCACAGTTTTGTCCGATTTTCAATAGATTACTGTCTCCATTTTCCTGGTATAATATGTTTCTATTTTTTCATAATGAATATTTTTGGATGACTCTTTATTACTTCATAATACTAGGAACCCATACACCAAATTTTGAGACCCAAATCCCATGGGAAATTTACCCATGGTTTGACTGAAAAATTGTGATTTTCACATTTTTTCCGATTTTCAATAAATTGCTGTCTCCATTTTCCCGGTACGATATGTTTTTATAATAAACATTTTTGAGGACTCTTTATTACTTCATAATACTAAAAACCCATACACCAAATATCCACCAAATTTTGAGACCCAAATCCAATGAGAACGTTACCCATGCTTTGACTGAAAACTGGTGCTTATGATAGCTTATGATGTCTGTTTTAGGGGCATAGTATGTTAATAAACATTATGGTAATTCCTTCTTAATCCAAAGAAACACCTAAATATCAAGACTTTAAGTCTTATTGAAAGGCGACAAATTCAGTAGTTTGGGGAAAATTTAGGATCTTTTACTTGTACATTTATATACTGTGGTTAATATTAAGAAGTGATGACTCGACAGCAACTCAAATGCCTTGAAGATTTGGTTTGTTGCTTTCAGTAGGGATACATCACAGGACTTTGTTTTGATTTGTGTGAGATGTCATATTCTTTCTCACATCTTTGCAGGGTAAGGTCAAATATCAAATCTGATTTTCTTTGGAGAAATGATTTTTTGATTGATCAATGTATCAATGGCATGGTCTCTGTTGTAACCAGTAAGCCTGTACCAAATCTTCAAGGGATTCGAGCTTCCACTGAGCTTTGTCATTTCTCTGAAAATGTTCATGCCCTGAAAGTACACAATGTAGAAGATAGGAAGAGCAATGAGAAACACTTAAGGTAATTCTGTATGTTCAGAAATTTTAAGTGGAGTCCAATGTTATTTCTGGAACTCATTCCATACTTGGTCAGCTCTTTCAATTTTACACTGAGTTCAAATATGTATTTAGATTATTAGTTGATGGTTAGTAATTTTCTATAATGTACTATGTGCTATGTTTATACACTGTTTGTGCATCTGAATGGAATGAGTTATGTGTTCCTGAAAAAACATGGGGCTCCAATTAGGAAGCCATTAAAACTGAAAATAAGGAATTACCTTAAAGTACTATATAACCATCTTTCACGATGTAACGTATGTAAGGCCAAACAGGATAATTAAGACAACGTGTAATACAATTTATTACAAATTGCACATCACACAACAATGATATGGTGCTCTAAACAACAAAAATCAAAAGTATATGATCAAAGCAAACGTGAATTTCCCATTGGGTTCAGGTCTAAACATTTGGTACATATTTAATGTATGGGTTCCTAGTATTAAGAACGTATTAATGTCCTCCTAAAATGTTTAAAAACTAAATATAAGATTAATGTTGATCTATTGAAAATAGGAGAAAATTCGCAGAAAATCACAAATTTTTGGTTGAAGCATGAATTAATTTCTCATGGGGCCAGGGTCTCAAAATTTGGTGCATATTTGGGGTATGGGTTCCTCGTATTATGAAGTAATAAAGAGTCCTCCCAAAATATTTATTACAAAAAATAGAAACATATAATACCAGGAAAATAGAGATGTATTGTATTGTATATGAAATAACCCAATTTTTCAGTCGAAGCGTGGGTAAATTTCCCATGGGATTTGGGTCTCAAAATTTGATGTATGGGTTCCTAAGTATTATGAAGTAATAAAGAGTCATCCAAAAATATTTATTATGAAAAGACATCTACCATTTTATACCAGGAAAATGGAGATGGCAATTTATCGAAAATAGCAAAAAATCATGAAATAACCGAATTTTTCAGTCGAAGCGTGGGTAAATTTCCCATGGGATTTGGGTCTCAACATTTGGTGTATGGGTTCCTAGTATTATGAAGTAATAAAGAGTCCTACAAAAATGTTTATTATGAAAAAATAGAAACATTTTATACCAGGAAAAGGAGATGGCAATTTATCAAAAATAGCAAAAAATCATGAAATAACCGAATTTTTCAGTCGAAGCGTGGGTAAATTTCCCATGGGATTTGGGTCTCAAAATTTGATGTATGGGTTCCTAAGTATTATGAAGTAATAAAGAGTCATCCAAAAATATTTATTATGAAAAGATATCTACCATATTATACCAGGAAAAGGGAGATGACAATTTATCGAAAATAGCAAAAAATCATGAAATAACCGAATTTTCAGTCGAAGCGTGGGTAAATTTCCCATGTGATTTGGGTCTTAAAATTTGGTGTGCAGGTGTTTTAGGTCATGGACAACAGTAAGTGAAATGAGGAAGATGATCTGAAACAAAGTTGGTTTTTCGCCATATTTTGGACCACCCTAATCTAAATAGAATATCTCGTCCTTCCTGAAGCAAGGGCTCATCATAATCCATATAAAGGTTCTCCGTGATCTCATAGTGCGGTCTGGATTCACATTGATCTAACAGTCTTTCCATACACGGATCTAGGTCCGAAAAACCGGAGCGTGAAACGACATCGACTACATCCGACGCCATTTTGAAAACGTTCATTTTGTGATAAAAGCATACTTTGTTTTGACAAAATACATGTTCCATTCTATTTTACATATATGACTTAACTTTTGAGGATACATTGAACATTGAAATGAAAAGAAACTCATCCCCTAACTTTTCTAAAGAAACGAAATAATGCAAAGCATGAATTTAAATTGCCTTGGCCTAAAATTACTGTATCATAGAGGTACCTGTGTGTACAATGTACTTGTAAAAAATATATGGTAATAAAGGTAATTTCATCTTGAAAATGTAGTAAGTAGTAATCTGAGTTTTAATTCTTTTTTTTCTTTATTCCTGCTAATACATTCAAATATACAAAACATAAACTGCCAAGTCAAAAACATTGGTGGCAGTTTTGTATTTAAATTAAACAAGGTGCATGCAATTTTGAACTTATTGACAATAATTGTTGTTCCAGTAACATATTTTTGAGGCTTAGGCTTGCTTCAATACCCTGGACCCCCCCCCCACTTATCTACTTTAACGACAGATGTAAAGTAGATAGGGAGGGTTGTCCATGGTTTTGAAACAAGACTACACCCCCAATCTGCACCCTGAAATTACAGTATTGTACGGTACCATAAACTGTGCTGAATGTACATTGTTGATTAAATCTCAGAATTATTATCACTGCCAAGTGAACATTTTTTATTATTTTTTTATTTTCAGGCAAATCTAGCTCACACGATGCTTTACAAAGTCAATGGCATTCTTATGACAGTATCATTTTTCCTCTCGAGGATAGTCATTTTTATATACATGTACTACATGTATGGAGTTTACGCAGGCGGTGTAGGAATTTGGAAAGTCCCAGGGATCATTCCAATGAAGTGCACTGTGGGATGCACTGTCCTCCTCCTGCCACAGATTTACTGGTTTAAACAAATGATAAAAGGTGTTTATGCGACAGTGGTCAAGAAAAAGGTCGTATAAAAGGTTTAGAAAAAAATATGAATTTGGTTCTGGTTTCCAGTTTGGAACCCAAATTATTTCAGCTATATCCCAAAATTGGCAGTCAGATGCAACAAATATGTTTAGGGAACCAGAATATAAAACCGTCCTTTTCAGAACATGTTATTTTTAGAATTTTGCAAATCCTTGAATGGTGAGAATTTTTAATATGGTGACCAGAATCAAAAGAAATCATGAGAAATTAAAATCCAGTCAAAGAAAATATGATGGAGGTCAAGCTTTATGTGCAAAAAGTAAGTGCAATACGTAAATGGTATGTATTAGTAAATGTACAAGCACAAATTGTATATATACTTACTATATATTGTATTAGGTAAATGTAGAAACACAATTTGTATTCATACGTACTGTAGGTAAATGACTAAATGTAAAGGTAAACAGTTGAATGTTGTATTGAAATGCTGGAAATGTAGTCTTGATTCAAGCCCTTGTTAACCCCAACCCACCCTCCGTTATACAGGGTGGGCCAAAAAAACATCCATATTTTTGTTTTGCTTCAACATTTTTAATACTACAGAAAAATGTATAAATCATATATCATTGGGAAGACTTTCCAACAGACTGATATATAATTTATTTCACATAAATAAGTATTTGTTTTAAAATGACGTTTCGATTACCACAGGGGTCAAAATCTGCCCAGACAGATATAACCCCTATGTCATCTTTGGGGATATAAGTCTAATTATTGAAGGCCAAAATTGTTGATTCATATATCAAATGAAAGCAAATTAATTTACCAATATTGTTGAGTTATTTTACCATTTTGATAGGTATTGGTAATATTATTGTCTAAATAACGCGGAGAAATCTGCATCAAGTAGTTGAATATTTACTCATTTCAAGACATTTTGGAGATAATGCCTAAATTAAATAGGAGCATATTTCAGCAACATTCCTAGTGGCAAAAATTATACCTCCTAAAAGACATAATTTTTAAAGATTCAGCAAAAACCAAATACGAATTGAGATTAAAATGTCATGATTTTTATATTTTATTTATAACATTCCATGTCATGCTTATTTTCTAAATGTTTAAACAGTTAATTCCAACTTTTTTCATGATTTATCCTCGGATTTTAAAGTTTATATCATAACATTACAGTACACTTTTAAATGTAGTCATCTTCTTTTTTCGATAACTTTATATTTTATTTCATATCTTAGATTATTTTTCAGGTAGTAAAATTAGGATTTAAAGGAGTAAACGCTGGCATGCTTTTTGAAAAGATAACATTATCATTTTGTAACACTTTCAATACAGTACTTTGGTGCCACTGTAACTTTAAGAACCCTTCTAGTGTTTTGTAGACTGGATTTCTTATATTTTGTCTACCTCAATGGAATCTAATTTGTAGAAATGAGTCGCTCAGGATCAGAATTTTAAATCATGAACCTTAAGTACATGATCAATATTAAACGAATATTAATTGAATATTAAATGATACTCCTTTGCTAATGTCTGAAATACACTTTTTGCTAATAAATACTCACAAAGATACAGCGATGCTATTGATACCAGGCCCGTAGCCAGGGGGTTTGCAGGGTTCGGGGGAAACTGAACCCCCCCCCCCCCTTGGCAAACCCTGGCTACGGGCCTGGGTACAATGAAAAAGTTATTTTGTGAAGATACAGTGGTTTAAAGAATTTAATTGAGAATTTGTTAAGAAAAATTATCATATTTTACACAATTTGTACTTAATTACAATGATGAAATTTTGATATGGTCATGCAATATAAATGCATTTCTTGGTAATAGATTTTTGTAATGTAGTTTGATTTTCATCTGTTCCCTTCATATGTGTTAATTGAGCATTGAGCTAGATACTGGACTCAAAAGAGAGTGTGCTAAATTCAATGCCCCATACAGGAATCGAACCCTTCCGCTCTCGAGTCAGACGCTCTACCCCTGAGCCATAAAGGCTAGCCACTACAGCTAAGACTGTATTAGCTACTTGCTATTGAAGGTCATTACATATGTTTCCTGGATTTGTCTCTGAGGAAGTGATTGTCATCAAAATATATATTGCATTTCAAGGAGTCTGTCATTCTGTATCGTATCATTTAAAGTATTTCCTAGTGAGGTCATAATGTTGTAACTTATTTATATCTGAATGACTTTACTTTTCCAAGATATTTTAGTTCTCTTTCATTGGGCAATAAATTAAACTAATTTAAGCCAAAATTATGTCATGATAATCACAGAATACTTAAATTAACCAAAATGACAAAAAGAGAAATCAAAACATTTTCATACATGCTCAGTTCATACATACCAATTTCTTGGTAATTTGAATGAAGGAGTTAACATAAAAGGAATCAGCTGCAATGTGATGTTTTGTATCATATTTAAAAGTAGTGTCTGTAATAAAATTACTATGTAAATTCAATACAATATTGCAATGTGGTGTATTGTATCATACTATTTAAAGGTAGTGTCTGTAACTGTGATAGAATCTGCATTTATCAAACTGTATAAATGAAATGATTAAACCCAAGAATTCAAAGATGGTCTCCATGAAAAATGAACTTCTAAAGGTTCATATTTACATGGAGATGGTGATGGGTTCATCATTGAATTATGGGGTATGGGTAATACCCCAGTGTAAGAGAGAAACAGAAATTGGATAACATTAGAGGGAAACAAGGCTGCTGAATATCATCGTCGGTTCCCACGCTCAATCACTATGTTCTATCGGTCTGAAGCTTGATTAAGCAAGATGGCTGAATATATTGCTTTTCAATATTTTCCATTTGATTTGTAAAAAATAGCTAATACAATACCTTCTCCAACAAAATGTTAACCATTGGCAATTAATGCAAAATTACATTACAGTGAAACTTATATAGGGGGGTGGAACACCTCTAGAAGTGGAACACCTCTGTTAGTGAAACCAACTGACTTAATGTTAAATGGACCTCTATCGAATAGAACACCTTTTAGAGGTACCTAAGGTGTTCCACATAACATGTTTTACTGTATTTAAAAATGATATCTCTAGGCCTATTCCCCAAATAAGATCTTGGTCTATTTTTTTAATGTCACAGATCTTCAGCATACTGTTTTCTCCCCTAAAGTCATCATACTCAGGGTGACCGGAAAAAAAGGAGACCATTGAAGTAATCAATTTCTCCTAAACTAGACAAGTGCCATCAATGAAATTTTGCATACACTGGAACAGTTATATGGAAATTTGTTACTGAAGGTTTCAATACAAGCATTCAACTGGTTCAGGAGCTATGATCATTTACATAACATGCTCCAAATAGGCACAATTGAGACCAACGCAGAGTTGGATTCATATGGCAAACTACCCTTACATGTTCTGCCCTCTATGGCATTATTATGGCATTACATATAGCAGTGATTGCCTTCTTTAGGTCAACAATAGTCTGAGGATTGTTTTGGTATAGATTGTCTTTCAAATATCCATACAAAAAGAAATCAGCAGGATTCAAGTCTAGGCTGTAATGGCAATGAAGGGTTATCTGACATGTGGTTCATCATCCTGTTGCCAAAGTGCTGATTTACCCAATCTTAAGAGTCACTTTAGGTATTGGGCATAGTGCCATGTTACTAAAACCACTATATGGCACAATTAAATCCCATATGGAAACCAAGGGCTGCCCAAAACCTCCTTAGGATGATACTGTAACTGAGTGGGACCACTGAGTCAGAAGCCATAGGTCAGATAAGCTTCGTCTCCATACACCTCAAATTTGAATCCACTTGATTTCTTTTTGTGGGGCAATTTGAAAGACAATGTGTACCAAAACAATCCTGAGACAATTGCTGACCTAAAGGTGGCAATAAATGCTAAATGTAATGCCATAACAAGGTCGGAATATGTAAGGGTATTTGCCAAATGTATCCAGCTCTGCGTTGGTCTCAATTGCGCCTATTTGGAGCATGTTATGTAAATGATCATAGCTCCTGAACCAGTTGACTGCTTGTATTGACACTTTCAGGAACAAATTTCCATAGAACTGTCCTGATGTATGCAAAATTTCATTGATGTCACTAGTCTATTTTAGGAGATATTACCTATTTCAATGGTCTCCTTTTTTTCCGGTCACCCTGTATTTAAATGTTCATTCTCAAATGATGTTTTAAAGCATATAGTTGTGTGTAAGATTTATATAGAAAGAGGCCAGCTTATACATGTACATGTATTATTAAAAGTGTCCTTATATTTATACAAAACCCTACCCCCATACTCTAGCCTTTATTTCTTTAAAAAGGAGACAGACTACAGTGAAGTTGCAAATGGTGCGGGTATTCTCTATCTTTGTCTATAGGACTTTTCTGGTAAATAATACATTGCAAACTGCTCGATGAATCAATACAATGCAAAGTAGGACACTTGGAATATAGGCCTATGTAAAATCTGGTATACCTTGAGAAATATGGAATAATATAAAGAAACGTCCTCCATTTCCAACTTCAGTGGGCTAGCCTGTATCCATTTTCAGGAAATACAGGCTACAGTATGGGAGTAGGGTACTGTGATTTAGTCCACATGAGTTAATATGTGTTGCATATTTTGATGTTATGAAATCCTGGGGGCGCCCCTGGTGTACATTGTATTAAATCAAGTTGCCATGATGTAGGATCTTCAAAACCATGTATTTTTGTATAGTCGATTATGAAAATGGGCTTCTTGAGAAATATGTTATTTTTAATCGTATGATTGTGGTCAATTTATTCATACTAAGTACATTGTAACATGTGCATGATATATTGTAAACTAAATGATTGTATCTTCAAGTATTACCATAGACTTGAAATAGAAAGTCCATTAAAAGATGACAGCGCAGTGAAGCTGTCTATCACTCTAAAGACAAACTACACCATTTCAATCTTTATGTTGGTCTAAAACCTATGTATATTATCTTAATTTTTAGGATATCCTACATTGTATATTGTTTTAAATTATAGAACTATTTTTATTATCTTAATTTTAATACACTTAGTGGAGTCATAAAATATGACACTATAAATATGACACTAAATACCACTATGAACAAGCAAAATGCTTGGAGTCATTATACAATCATGTTTATTTATAATTTCTTTAAGTTGTAATTGCATATGCTATTAAATTGTACAATTATACACTCCCCTCCATAAGTTTAGCAAGTTTTCTTTTGAGAGTATATCAAAGCTGTCAATGACTGTATCATAATTTTGTTCATTTTAATTTTAATTACAATAGTTCGGAACTTTATAACAAATTTTATATTTTTTAAACGAGTCAAACAAACAAAAACAGGCCTTGAAAATGATCCAAAAGAGAATTCTCAATTAGAAGGGAGTGTACTTATCGTTGTATTTATAGATTTTGTAAGGTTGTTTAGTACAATAATATTGTAAAGTTTTGTAATCATGTAGAGTGATATATTCCAGTTACAGTTAGACTGTAAAAATAAACTGTAGATGGAAGTTATAAATGGAGTCATAAAATAATGTAAAATATTCTAATTCATTGAGTCATAAAATAATGTGAAATATTCTAATTCATTGATAAAATAGTGCCTCATAAACAGAGATTTACATGTGCAATTTGACTAGAGTTACAACAGTGTCTCAAATACAGGGTTAACTGTACTAAATAGAGATTTTCACATGTATTATGACTATGAGTTACAATAATGATACAACATAATTGTAGATTCACTGTACTAAATAGAGACTTACAGAAGCATGACAATTTACAATAGTGTCTCATAGGACTAAAAGTTACATGTAGACATAATCCTCAAATACACAGGTTTTACTGTACTGAATAATGTAATTGTAGTAGCTTATAAATTATTGCAATAAAACTAAGTCATTGGTAATTTGTAAATCAATATATACTGTGTGTTGTTCACTCTTAATTATACTTGTCATACCAGGTGATTTTTATTATATCATATATACAGGGTGTCAAAATATAATAGAAAAATGGTAAAAAAAACTTTTTCCAAGAATGTTAGTTATTTAGTGATTTTTAATCATACAAAGGCTAATATTTTCAAGGTAATACCAGAATTCAATTCCTCTAAAATGACATGACACAGTATGCATTATTTTAGTTAACCTGTTCTTGCTATGTGGAGTGGTGCTGTAGTTTCTTGACACCCTGTATATTTGCCACATATATATTCATCATATACAGTATTCACACCCTAATGCCTGGGTTTTGGGATTTTGGCACAATAGTTTCATATATACTTTATGTCTATAACTTGCAAACTAAATGCAGATATCACTGGGGTGTAGTCATAGGTGAATAAATAGGTGAGGCAAATTTAAATAGGCGAGCTAAAAATGAAGTAAATAGCAATATACATATTAGCATTAGGCTTCATTTTCAGGATTTCAATTGAAAAATGTCTGCAGTGATATTTTTCTCTGAAATTTTGTTGAGGCAATTGCCTCACCTCCTCATGCCTCGTTACATCCATGTCTCACCCCTGGAACCATTTGTTTATCAGTTCAATGCTGTCTTGCCTCATGTCCTGCCCCATGCCTAATTACACCCCTCTTTCACCCCTGGCACCATTTGTCTATCAGTTCAATGCTGTCTTGCCTCATGTCCTGCCCCATGCATAATTACATCCATGTATCACCCCTGGCACCATTTGTCTATCAGTTCAATGAGTTCCTTGCTGTCTTTAATCATCAAAATTGCCTCCAACTCCTATTGCAATGCTTTCTCCAGGCCCATTTGGAAGGTAGTCGAGATACCATAAGTTGTCAGTAAAGACCACTGAAATATATTGAAATACTGATTATATTAGTTCACGAGAATGCGAGATCCCATTTGGAAGGTAGTCGAGATACCATAAGTTGTCAGTAAAGACCACTGAAATATATTGAAATACTGATTATATTAGTTCACGAGAATGCGAGGATCCCATTGGGAAGGTAGTCGAGATACCATAAGTTGTCAGTAAAGACCACTGAAATATATATTGATACACTGCTATTATGGACATAATAAACATGCTTCTCAATTCTTCAGATTATTAGTGAAATTTAAATTAAGGTTGGTCAGTGACCTAAGAATACAATGTAATACATATTTCGAGGAATCTATCTTTTGAACTTACACAAGGTTATCTCTATTTTAATGATAAGATAAGTTCATTGTTTGGTAATGTGTCTGATATAGATAGTTTCTTCTAAAGGCAGTGTATACTTCCTCAAATAACTACGAAGACAAATGTCGTCAACAAGTCGTATAACAAAGGAAATATTACAAACATTTTGTTAACACAGAATTGATCAAATCATTGAGCTACATAAATTCAACATGTGAATAATAATCAAAATTTGAAAATAATGTGTAAAATTAGATAAATCACATTTTCTCATTTTTATTGTTATGTAATATTGGAACATATTGTTTTTCAACTAATGAACATTTGAACTGAGGTGCAGAGATAAAAGTATACTTACATATTTCACCTTCTGTGAGAGTTTCTGTCAGCTCCACGCACGTTTCATTGCAGGGTGGGCGAGGCAATAATTTGATGTCAAATTGACCTTTCACTACACTCATCACACCAACTGCTGACCCAATTGATAGCTACAAATGATGAAATATGTTATGATTGACAGGTCACATTGCCTTCTGGGCGGAGCAACAATCTGATGTCAAATTGACCTTTCACTACACTCATCACACCAACTGCTGACCCAATTGATAGCTACAAATGATGAAATATGTTATGATTGACAGGTCACATTGCCTTCTGGGCGGAGCAACAATCTGATGTCAAACTGACCTTTCACTACACTCATCACACCAACTGCTGACCCAATAGATAGCTACAATGATAATGAAATGTATTATGATTGACAGGTCACATTGCCTGGTGACGGGGCAACAATTTGATGTCAAATTGACCTTTCACTACACTCATCACACCAACTGCTGACCCAATAGATAGCTACAATGATAATGAAATGTATTATGATTGACAGGTCACATTGCCTGGTGGGCGGGGCAACAATTTGATGTCAAATTGACCTTTCACTACACTCATCACACCAACTGCTGACCCAATTGATAGCTACAAATGATGAAATATGTTATGATTGACAGGTCACATTGCCTGGTGGGCGGGGCAACAATTTGATGTCAAATTGACCTGTCACTACACTCATCACACCAACTGCTGATCCAATTGATAGCTAATAAAAATGATGAAATATATAATGATTGACAGGTCACTTGATGATTATCTACATGATGATTGACAGATGATTGACAAATCAGTGACATATTATACAACTGTAACGACCCTTGATAGCAAGTTGCTACTACAGTCCAGCTGTAGTGGCTTAAGCCTTTATAGCTCAGTCGGTAGAGCATCAGTCTTTGGATTCAAGGGTCCTAGGTTCGATTCCCACACAGGGCATTGAATTTAGCACACTTTCTTTCAATTTCTTTATCTGGCTTGTTACACTATGCTCGTTGGTTAGTCATTCCTAGTTAGTCATTCCCCTGGGGCGCCCTCGGGTCATTACACAACATATGACTCTCAAGTTGGTAAAGTAATGAGCATCCATTTAGAAACATAAGTTGCATACATGTAGTTTATAATAAAAAGACCAATTCTAATGAAGAACTCTATGAATGATTGCATGTGTCTCTCCAAAGTCTTCACTCGAGGTATTGGGTCAGTTTTTGGTCACAAGAAATCTTGGCGCTGCAGGTATTCAAGCAATTAAATAGGTTCAACAAGAAGCTATCATATTAAATACGTCTTCAGATTTGCAGGTGTCAACCTGCAGTATCAGATCAATTTTAGAAACAATGATTCTCACCATTTATTCTTCATGGTTGATTTTTACAAAAGGCATCATATTGGATCAATAAAATGGAAAGAATGCTGCAAATAAATCATATTTTCATAATATGCTTCATTAGATAATGTGCACCCATTGGAAAAATAATCTGAAGAATGGTACCTTAAGTATCCTATATTGGAGCTTGATATCAATATTAGCGCAAGAAAATAGGTATATTAGTTTCTGATTAAGTATTTGATATTAATATCCATCCACCTCTTAGGCTTCATTCAATATATAATATGGATACTTAATTATTTCTAAATATGGCTTATGAGAGCTCACTTTCTTAAACATACAGTCTCATTTTTTGGTGATTTTGCAAGAAACCAACATTTTAATATTGTAAAGTATTTATTCGGTGGTCAACCAATGGTTTCTATTTTTGAAGAATAACTTTCCCTCCACCATGTACAGTATAACCTGTAAAGTGGAACACCTCTGAAAGTGGAACACCTCTGTAAGTGGAACACCTCTGTGAGTGGAACACCTCTTAACTGGAACACTTTTTACAGGTACCAAATGTGTTCCACTTATACAGGTTTTACTATACACGTTAAGTGCCAACATACAACCATAATACCTTATAGCACATAAGTAATAAACATATAGCCTACACCACATTTATTCCCATTCACCATTCAATATTGTTTTTTATATTGCACACTTGCTTTACCAACAACAACCTTCACCAAAACCTTCAGCCTTTAATAAAGGGAAACAAGAACACAAATGTGTACAAAATGTCCCCACCTATGGGTGATCCTGTCAAATGGTTATCCTAAAAATGAGTAGACAAGACTTTACCGACACAATTTGATGACGGAAAATCCAAAATGGCCACCTTAAAATTTACCTAGAATGCCAAAAAACTAATCAGATCTAGATTTTCATACTAAGAATCATCCCTGAAAATTTGAAATTGATCTACAAAACGGTTCACCTAAAAACGCGTAGAGAAGACTTTACGGGCAGGATTTTAAGACGGAAAATCCAAAATGGCTGCCTTGGCATTTATCCAGAATGCCAAAAAACTAATCAGATCTAGATTTTCATACTAAGAATCATCCCTGAAAATTTGAAATTGATCTACAAAACGGTTCACCTAAAAACGCATAGACAAGACTTTACGGGCAGGATTTTAAGACGGAAAATCCAAAATGGCTGCCTTGACATTTATCCAGAATGCCAAAAAACTGATCAGATCTAGATTTTCATATTAAGAATCATCCCTGAAAATTTGAAATTGATCTACCAAACGGTTCACCGGGAAATGCGTAGACAAAACTCTACAGACAAGATTTTAGGACGAAAAATCCAAAATGGCTGCCTTGGCATTTACCCAGAATGCCCAAATACTAATCAGATCTAGATTTTCATACTAAGAATCATCCCTGAAAATTTGAAATTGATCTACAGAACTGTTCACCTGGAAATGCGTAGACAAGACTTTACAGACAATAGTTTAGGACGGAAAATCCAAAATGGCTGCCTTGACAATTACCCAGAATGCCAAAAAACTAATCAGTTGTACATTTTCATATTAAGGATCATCCCTGAAAAATTGAAATTGATCTACCAAACAGTTCACCTGAAAACGCGTAGACAAGACTTTACAGACAAGATTTTAGGACGGAAAATCCAAAATGGCTGCCTTGACATTTACCCAGAATGCCAAAAAACTAATCAGATCTAGATTTTTATACTAAGAATCATCCCTGAAAATCAAGAATTGATCCACCAAATGGTTCACCTGGAAACACGTAGACAAGACTCCACAGACAAGATTTTAGGACGGAAAAATCCAAAATGGCTGACAATAAAAAAGTGATCATGAGTTTTTGCTGATTTCTTTTTACAAAATTATCACATATAAATACTGTTAACAACAACATAGGCTTTAACAACAAAGTACATCTGAAATTATTTATAAAGCTACTAAATAGTTAGAATATGAAAACTCAAAAACACCATTCAATATGATACAAAGTATTATCGTGCGCTAACTTTTCTTAAGACATTCAAAATGGCTGACATGACTGAGCTAACAGGTCCAAAACCTAATCAGATCTAGAATGAAGTGAGCTGAACAAGATGTTAAAGTTTTAAAAGCAACTGTGAAGCCGTTTTTCTTAAAGTTTGCAGACAAGGATTTTAGCATTTGACTTCAAAATGGCCGACAGGAAGTAGGTATGGAGTTAATTTTTTTTCATCCACATCTGTATGCACTCATAAGTTATCCCTGAAAATTTGAAGGTGATATCTGTAGCGGTTTTGGAGAAAACTCCCGGACGTACGGACGGACAGACGGACGGACAGACGGGCGGACGGACGGACAGACGGACGGACGGACGCGCCTTGGCCGACAATATGGCCCCACACTATGTGGTGGGGACATAACAAAAAGTGGAAAATGTTTACGAGGGGCCTCTTTCGAAAAATTGCAGTGAAAATTCTGTTCAAGAATGAAACTTTCTACATAATTTAATTTTCCAATTTTTAAACACCTTGATATTATTGCAAGCCCCAGATAATGTTGTCAATATACAAATGTACACTTATAATAAGGGTCCTGCTGAAGTGCAAATAAAAAAATATCTGACCTTCTTAGCAGATTGTACATATCTTGAACAAGTCAAATTACCTAGAGAGATATAGAGACTATTTTGAGCTTTTAATATAATATAATGTATAAATATAATATGATAAATATAATATAATTACTATAATTAGCCTATATGGATATATAAGCAACAAAACTAAATTATAAGTATAAATGGGAAAAATAAACAAATGTAACATATCCCATCTTATACAGTATGTGCTAAGTTTGAAATGAGAAATTGAGAAACTAATAAGAATGTTTTAGGAAAATCATATTTTGGCACCGAGTGAGTGGACCCTGGGCAATTTAAACACACTGTAAAAGCTGACACAGAAAGATCCAGACATTATACACTAATCTAATTTACTTTTATGTTCATGTAGAGTATAGATATGGCCGTGAGAGTCGTACATGTAAAATTATTAATATAAAATTAATATAAATAAATATTGAGCCAATTAACACAAAACACAATACCTTGGAAAATAATGGCTAATTTAAGTTAATTAGCTACAAGAGTTTACAATTTGACATAACTGTTAATTAGCTCAATTGGATATATTATAATACCATCTCCAACTCATCTTCTTGGGCGAAAATAAGGCTCCAACTGGTGGTGTAAGCTGGGGAAGGAGGTGAGGGAAAAGAATCGAAATGTATAACTTACATTGATGTTAATGGATTTTGTACGCACCTAGGGAGAAAACCCTCCAACTACAATCCTATCGATATCTCGTCTAAAGTCTCATCTCGTACTCTCGAGATCTGAAGCTTGATGTTTCGTTCAGTGTAACTTACCAGAAACATTTACCTGGGATAACCGGGGAATGGTCTTCTTAGGGCTTGTTCATACCTAAACCTTAACCGACTCTCACATTGCCATAAATGAAATTATTGTCAATAATTTGAATTTATGTTCATGTAGAGTATAGATATGGCCGTGAGAGTCGTACATGTAAAATTATTAATATAAAATTAATATAAATAAATATTGAGCCAATTAACACAAAACACAATACCTTGGAAAATAATGGCTAATTTAAGTTAATTAGCTACAAGAGTTTACAATTTGACATAACTGTTAATTAGCTCAATTGGATATATTATAATACCATCTCCAACTCATCTTCTTGGGCGAAAATAAGGCCATGCGCGATCTCTCGCGAGAGCCCAAAAGAAAAGAAGATTAAATAGAAAGTAGTTAAATCATTTATTGATACACACAAATCAATACATGAATACCAAATTATAAGAATATCATAGAAATGAACTAAAGTAAATCCGCAAATTCTGAAATATGGATGGACAAATTAATGTAATGTAATGTAATATGCTGTAAATCTCAGGTAAGATAAAGGAATGAGAATTGAATGAAAATTTTTGAATTCAGAAAGTGCGGGTTTATCTCAATTAAATTTCTAGTACATCATGAAGAAAAAACAGTAGCTACTTGAAATTTGCATGCTCGACACCTGTTTGAGCCGACTTTGGGGTTTACATGAAAATTGAATACTCGACACCTGTCTGAGCAACTTTGGGGCTTTAATGAAAATTGCATACTCGACACCAGTCTGAGTTTATAAATGTCTACCTAATATATTTTTTAAAGTATGT